AAAGAGAAGAAGGACGTTTTTGACAAGAAACAAGATGGAAGGATAACATCAGAGAAAACTCTACAAACAGCACGATTTTGCCTATGGTCGAGGCAGCCAGAAGATTTATATCGACATCAGAGCTGTGTACTTTATTTGCATTTGTAGCTTAATTATTAGGATAATGAATAGTTATATTAACAATTTAATTTAAAAGCTTAAATAACAATAACTCATAATTATCTCAAACTGTAGCTGTACAAAGAGGGCATACAAGATGCTATCATCAAGGCAAAAACTGGTGATGCTGAAGAAGCTTATACCACACTAGGTAATTATTCACTGTAATACTATTATTCATTTTTCATATATTGCTTCACATTTTTATGTAAAGTGCAAGAGGTGTTTTTTAATTTGCTGACTAGCAGTAACCAAGTTCAGATGTGATGCTGCAAATGAATAAAGAGGGAAAACAAGTTCAGATGATGATGCTGCAAATGAATAAAGAGCGAAAACAAGTTCAGATGATGATGCTGCAAATGAATAAAGAGGGAAAACAAGTTCAGATAACTGATGCTGCAAATGAATAAAGAAGGAAAACAAGTTCAGATGATGATGCTGCAAATGAATAAAGAGGGAAAACAAGTTCAGATGATGATGCTGCAAATGAATAAAGAAGGAAAACAATTAAAAGTATAGGACCCTTTTCTTGCCAGAATGGCATCATGAATATGGTGCTAGACTCATATATAGACCTATCAACCCTTGATGGGTGATGGGGTCAACTTCACGCTGACTGCCTTTACTTCCCACAGCATTACCTGGTACCCATTTTAGGTTTGGAGGCCAAGGTCATTTTTTAGCAAAATCTGCCTTGATGCAGATTTGAAACTAAGACTTTTGTAATGGGAAAGAAAAAAAAAACCAGAAGTAGCCACTCAGTAAAGGAATGCTAACTTTTTGTTCCGTGAATAACTGTGAAGTAAAACTGAGGATGTGTAATAGATGCACCTTATATACATGATCTTTTTCAAAATCAGAAGCATTTTGTTAAAATATACCCCACATAATGCAAATGTCCTCCTGGGAGGAAAACTTTGCTGTGGCTTTTGCAGAAAGGAAAGATGAGTTATTGTGTATCTGGTTAATTATGAAAGTTGAGTAATTGCTACATTATGTACATCTACCAGCAAGTATCATTTTGTGCTCTGACACCCTTCTTTGTCATGACAAATGGCTATCAAGAATCTTCTCACATTGTTTTCATCAATCTCTATTTAGCATGAGGAGTTATGCTATACAGTTAAATGCTCTTTTCACTGATCTTTCCAGTTGTCAGTTTGTTCCAATTTTTTTCTTCTCATCACATGGAAAAAAATTATCACTGCGAATATTAAATATTTCTGTGACATTTATGTCATCTTTGTAAGGTAGTAAAGACAATGAAGGTCTTCAATTCCTGTGTGATCCCAATGCTACATTGAGAGTTGGAAATATCAGTATCTACCTAGTCGCATGTATCTATTGAATGTGCTCGGACTTTACCCTTCTTTGTGCTACAAAATTATGTACATTTTCTAGAAAGCGTCGCTGGTACATCGGTCACGTACTGTGCTCTGACTCCCACCAAGCCTTTGTGCTACATTATGTGCAGGGGAAGACCAGCACTCTCCGTAGAAACCATCATTTTGTAGGTCTCTGACAAGACCTTCAAGTGGCAAAGAAACCGACAGACGTGTGACCTCTGCTATGCCCCATTATGTACATAACTAACTAACTAAAGACAATGAAACATAAAATCACACACTTGTGGTTCATTTCACTAGAATGCTCTTTCTCATTTACTCTTTTATTGCTCTGAGTGTAAATGGAGATATATGGTTCAGCTTCTTGCTCTCCTGACTGCCTTGACTATATTCACATCGTACTGTTTCTTTGATTTTATCTTTCCATAGGTTCTTGGTCTACCTCATATTTTACATCTCCTACCTCTCTTGGTGTTTGCCTTGTATGGTATGGCATCACAAGACATTATCAGTGGGGAAACCATTTTATTTGCTGTCTTTGTGCGTAAATGACTACTTGTCTTGTGTTGACTCCTTTCACTAATGACTTCACTTCTGATTTTAATCTCTTCTGCTCACTCCTTCAGTTAGAATGTTACTATGGTTAAACTTGTTTAAAAATGTTAATGTATCTATATAATGTCTGTTAGTTTTTACCCCATCAAGGCAAGTATTGTTTCTGAACTGTCACATGACCAACCTATTTTGAGCTTTTCTTTTAAAATTTTCAGTAAAGAGCAAAGAAGATGAAGCAGAGCTGTATGCTCAGACACTGAACAAGTCATTGAAAGGAGATGGGACCAGTGATTCTCATCTGAGTAGGATTTTGGTGTCCAGATCTGAGGTGGGTTACGTCATGTTATGTTATTGCAGTTGACATTAATGCACACTGGGTATTCTCATGCATACTCAATCCTCTAAATCAACAGCTATCCCAACTTATCTCACCTCACTTTTCCCATGAGATGTGGATTTTATTTTTATTGCCTCCTATCTTGACTTTAAAAGATGGCATAGATGGGCATGGCAAGCTTAACTTCCAAACAATACAGTCAGGTTAGAATTAGAGACTCATGTGACCAGATTTTTCACTTGTCTGTTCCTAATTTTTTGTTCAAAATCTTTTTATTCACTGTCTATTCAAAACACTATATTTGATTGCCTTTGTTTCTGTGAAGTAAGGCCTCTTCTTTTATATACTGTTGTCTTTCTAATTACTGGATTATTGTCAAGGTTTCTACACAATATATTAAATTATTAACTAATATCTTAATTATGATTCTTTTATTCGTCATATTAGATTATCACTTTGTATTATAACACACTTCTAATAAACATTGTTATTGTTGTTTATTTCCTAGTTGGACCTTCCTGAAATCAAGTCACAGTATAAACAACTCTATGACAAGCCACTGAGGGAGGATGTAGAATGTGAAACTACTGGAGATTACAGAAAAACCTTACTGGTTCTCATTGATAAAGTTAAAGATACAAAGGATGATGGAAAAAAAGATAAGAAAGACAAACCCAAACAGCAGCCATCACAAAATGATAAAAACAAATCAAAAGATAAAACTGGAAAAGACAAAGATAAAAATGAAAATGATGAAGATGCTGTAAAACTATACAAAGCAATGAAGGGAGTTGGTACTGACGAGGACACATTGATTGAAGTAATAGCAAGAAACTCCAACTCTCAGAGACAAGCACTGAAAAAAAGATACAATGAGCTCTACAAAAAGGTAATAAGCTAAACTCTGAAACTCTTGTTTGCTTGATCGCATTGCTTTTAATTACAAATCATCAGTAAACTTGTTAAAAAAGCTATTAAATACAGAAAACTAATAAAAATAAAGTGGAGGTGTAAAGTATTACATTCAAAGATATTTTGTTCTTTTTTTGTTTTCAGATCCAGTAACTTTTTTCCCACTCTCTGTTAAGAACAAATGTTGGATGGCATATACCAAACCTGATATTGCACGTTGTACCAGCAGCTTTGTTGGAAGACTGCATTGGGTGGTATACTAGCCTTACCCTAGAAAGAAAAAATGCAACCTACAAGCCTAATGTCTTGGCATGGCAGACCAGGCCCTTAGCCTTACCTGGCAGCTGGTCTAGGAGGGAAGCTCTGAAAGTAGACAGACAGAGCACTGCTCTTTTGGTCGGGTAGTTTTAGCAGCATGCTTTATTCCAAAGGTATTGGTGTTATCTTTCTCTTTGAGTAAACAAGGCAGGCCTAGAGAGGTATCAAACTGCATGGGCATCACATGGTCACTCCAATACTGTACAGGCTTTGTTCTGTTAAGAATAGATGCTTCATCCCTAACCTTAATTGGTCATAATGCAAGCTGGTCTTGCTAGCTCTGTCAGCGCTATAGGCTATCATTCTCATAGCACAGTGTAATACTATTGTTTAGAAAGACAGAAAGGTGCCAACAATGGTTCTCAGAACTTCACTTTTCATTGGGTTGAAATCCTTTTTCTTTAAGATTGTGATGGACGATTAAATTACATTTAGAAATAGAATATATTAATGGTAGCTGTAGTCTAGCGGCTAGATGCTCACCTGTGGATCTAAAGATCATGGGTTCAAATCCGGACTATGCTGGCTTTTTAAAAAACAAATTCCTTTGTCAAACCAGCCTTAAATTGATACCAGGTAAAGCCCTGGGAAGTAAAAGAGACTGGCATAATGTTGACTACATCACTCTCCAAGTGCTGATTGGTCTATAAAATATAGGTCTAGCCCTATATGTCCAATACACCTGAAGACATCAAAAAGGGTCCTTTTCCTTCACTTTTATACTGGCTTATTAGTTAGGGTACTTACTTACCTGAACATTGGTCCAGGTTCAATAACCATCAAGGACAATGTTTGTTTCCAAGCCAGCTTGACTCGACCTAGGATTACAAAATGGATGTCTGAATAATTTTCAGAATTTTCCTGAAATTGTCATGGGAGGAAATGGGGCGGCAAGAAAAAAATTGTCAGTTGGGGCTGCAGAAAACACCCGGCTCTGTTCTGATGGAATTATGCATATTTTATGTCTGCTAGCTTTACTGTAATCAACTGAATACAGAATGAAAAAGCAGCTAGGACAAACTATAGTTAAATAAAAACAAAAGAGCTAATGATTTAATATTACTTTATTATGTTTTCTGTTAGATTAATGTGCTTGGGGTGGGTACAATACATGGTTTATGTCCTCATTATTTAAAAACAAAAAAATTTGCATAGAACAGGAAGAGTTGACACATTCATTGTCCATGTATATTACAAATGCCTTAACTCTATGAGTCCCAGGGCATTTAGCATCACAGGCCTAGGGGGTAGTAAAGAAAGTAATAAAATCGGCGCATCATGCGTTCATTGGGCTTCTAGGTAGGAACTTATGAACGTATGCGTTCCTTGGGACTCAAAGAGTTAAGTTGTTCCTCTGTAATCACTTTCTTTAGGACCTGGTCAGTGACATCAAATCAGAAACATCCGGTGACTTCCGAGAAACTCTGGTTGCTCTTTTGATGCCTCCAGTGGAGTATGATGCTTACTCCATCAACAAAGCCTTGAAAGGTTTTGGAACAGACAAAACTACCCTTGTTGGTGTCCTATGTTCCAAGAATGCAGCCGAGATAGAAGACATTAAGAAAACCTACAAAAAGGGTGAGTACCAAAAACAGCAATTGTTTCTTTACTAATGTTAACATTAGATTAATTTATTAGTGAGTTGAGTCAAGAATTGACATCACAGCATTAGGGGTATTCCCATGCGTGCTCCCTCCTCATCTTCAGCAGCCAGCACAGAGTTCCAGTACTGATGGTACCGGTCACAACCTGGTTATTTGTCCGTCTTGCCTTTCCTCTGAGTGTAGTGAGCCGGCCAGATCCTCTGGTTACATTCAGGTGTCTCATTCTCTCCAGGCCATAAATAATCTTCTTTCGCTACTGATTCCGTTGTTTGTTCCTTGACCACATTTGCCTTGTCATGTATCAGTTCACCACCCAGTGGTGCAGATCCAGCCAATCTGTCTGCCTGTTCATTACCCACTCTGCCGGCATTACTTAGAGAAAAGATCCAAAGTATTCTCACTAGCCGTGACCTTCCCAGTGAAGCTTACCACTCTGCTCAAAGCATCCCTGTCTTCACCTTTCTCAGCATGCTTTCAGAGTCTGTTACAATTATGACATGTGTATGCATGTGTCACTGGTTATTTATAAGTGAAAACTGTGGAAGAGGCAGATTTGACAGATTAAAAATAGCCCTCAAGATATTTTGAAGAAAGTGACACATGAAGAGAACCTCATACTCACATGAAAATTGGACAATCTACATTCTTTGGTCACATAATGAGTAGAGTAAAAATGGAGTATATTGTTACGATAGGAAGTTGGAGGGGAAAAGAGGCAGAGGGAGACAGAGAAGATGCTGGACAGTTTCACATCCTGGAATGGAAGATCATTTGTGTCAGGATAAATCAGAAGTACATCAGATAGAAGGCTGTGGTTATTCATTACTACCAGTGCCACACAGCATGGACTATACAAAGAAGAATTGAACATTAAAATCAAAAAGTCATGATCATTGCAAGTTTCTGTCTCTCTGCTTTTCTTAAATAAAGAACATTTAAAAAAAAAAAATGGAAGCATTTAAAGGAATTTAAATTGTTCTCATGCCTTGAAATGTATTGTGCTTTTACGTTATGCTGTCTTTGTAAATATTACATGGTAATGTCACAGACTTTTTCACACTGTGACTCTCATGCTTCTGTCCAAAAGCCATGGGAGGGGTCTTTTTATAAACTGCCTGTCTCAGAAATCAAATCCTGAAATAGTGTAGACTGGGAAATATCTATACCAACTGAAATTCCCTGCTACCTACATGAAGTGATGGATGTTGAACATCTAATCTTTTCTGGTCTTATAATCAGTGATGGCTTGGAAATAGGACAGTGTGAAACTGCAGCACTCCCATTCTTTTTCAATCGATATTGTAAGTAACAAAATAGTTTTTTTTATTTTCTTCTATCTTCATAACTAGCACACCATATAATCCTTAAGCTTATGTCATGGGCCGTTCCCCTCCTTCATTAAAAAATTACAAAATCCTTGTTTGGAACTGTACATTTCACAGTTCCAGCAACTGTGTTTAGATGTTTTACACATCTACACATGTGTCCAAGATAAGAAGCTGTGTGTAAGTTGGAGGGATACTGCCCCAGACACAGTGCCGTCGGCAAACCCTGGTTTAATAATCTTTTTGTATAAGAAGATTGGATTTCATTTTTAAATGAACTGTTCAAGCGTGAACTGGAACAAATTTGTAATAAAAATAATTATTTTGTTTAGGAATTTATCAAGTTTGTACATTTTCTTTTTATATTTGTTTTATTTTACACAATATTAAAATAATCAGCTAAAACTTTCTTTAGCAGCCCCCTCCTTCAGCTGCTCATAGCACAGATTATGTTGATGGCAACTGTTTTGTTGAAATATTTTCAATCTATGAGGGGGCTACAAATGAAAGTCTTAGAAATGTTAATATAAATTACAATAATCATCCATTACCTCTTAATCTGTCAGTATTGTTGTTAACTCTTTGAGGTCCAAGGAATGCATCATCCGTTCATAGTTTCCTACCTAGAGGCCCAATGAACGCATGATGCGCCGATTCAACGTCTCTCTTGACTATTCCTTAGGCCTTTTTTTATAAACCCCCTGGGACTTAAAGAGTTAAGGATATCAAGGGTGCCGACAAAAGTGGTGACGCTGTAGCAGTTAAAGATTGCCACTCCACTTTTGACATGCATCAAAGAGGAAAAATGTTCTGTCATCTGTCACAGAAGTCAGGCCATTTTGAAACTTCCTACTTCCATCATACACTTGCTGGACTGCCAGGCATGAATCATCATGCTGGTAGTTCATGTGATGATGAATTTCTATATGTTTGATTCATCCCTTTACTGTTCAAAATACAATCATGCTTCTGTTGATGAGACTGGAATTAGAACTCTCCGCTTGCTGCTGATGATGCAGACTGAGCTCTTTTGGGAATGTCCCAAGTGCTGTGAGGTAGATTCTTAATTAAAAATTAAACTGTTCACAAAACGGATAACAGAACGCTGCTTGTCTTTGGTACATGTAAAATTGGGGTGTCCATCTTCAAACTGGCATTATAACCTCACTGTGTTTGCCTGCACAGTTATGTCGCAAGCTTTACACTCTTGACATTTTTAACAACAGTGTTATTGTAATTTCTATAAAGTTTTTTTTTAAATTTAACTTTTTGAGTCCCAAGAAACGCATCATACGCTCATAGGTTCCCACCTAGAAGCCCAAAGAACGCAAGATGCACCAATTTTACGTCTCTCTTGACTATCCCTTGGGTCTCTGATGCTAAACCCCCTGGGACTCAAGGAGTTAAGCTGCCCATATTTTCTCTTAAGTAGACTTTACATTTATGAAGTTTATTTCTTTTGTCCACACAGAGTACAAGAAAGATCTGGAAACAGACCTAAAGGATGGAACATCAGGGGACTTTGGCCAGCTGCTTGTTCAGCTTGTTAGTGCTAAGAGGGATAACAGTACAAAAGTTAACCAGAAAAAGGCAGAAGATGATGCCCATGCTATTCATTCAGTAAGATCTTCATTATTTATGTTTCTTTAAGGAATGGCATGAATGTATGAGAAATGATAAGGAACTAATGAATCATCATATAACTATCTCTTTTCATTAATCAGATCCAGAAAATATTTCTTTTTTGGCAACTGCTGTAGATACTCTTGAGGCAAGGTTGTCCTCGACATTTCATTTCATCAAAATTTTAAGGAAATTTTGACCCATATGTTTGTTATGTATCTGTTGATAAGTTTACAGTGTTTGAAATAACTTAATCAGATCGTATAAATCGCAATTAGAAATGGTTCAACATGTCCTAGTTGTTATAACTTATTCTTATGTTGTAAATTTCAACAACCCTAATGCTTTCTACAGAAGCCATCGGCAAACTTGCTGAAAGATTTGTTCATCAAATGTAGCCCAGCACAAATTAATGCCACAGCTGCTGCTCATGAAAAGGTAATTTCACTCATCTCATTTAGAAACATGATGTGTTTTTCTTTGTAAAATTTTGTTTCAAAAATGTTCCTATGCAAGTTCTGAGTCTGCATATTTGATTTGTTGAGTGATGGGTGCTTAATAATAATCTCCCCCACATGACGTTACAGAACAGTCCAACATTTTTGAGGGTGGTAAGACTGGGTTTCCCGGCTTTCTGATGCTTTTAACGACCCCAAAACATAAAGAACTGGCCCTAACCCCAACCCACCGATGTCCTACAAGAAAGTGCAGCCTAGGTCTCACAATTACATGCAGGCTAGGTCCCACGACTGCATGCAGCTTATCTATCACCCCCTGAAATATTAGACTGTCCCTCCGTGACCTGTGGATTTCCCCTGTTTGGGGTAGGATATTAATAAAGCACCAAGTGATGTTTAAAATCAAACTAGCTGCCTTTACTTTTCCCGATATTTGTTGGTAACCATTTTAGGCTGGATGACCATGAAACTGAAGTGAATTTTAAAAGTAAACCTGGCTCTAGATTTGAATCCATAACTATTGGACTGATAATGGTATTTTTCTGCTGCACTACTGCAGTTCCTATACTGACGATTAAACTATTGAAGACTAAACTTATGTTGCTGTCTCTGCAATGGAGGCTGGCTGCAGTGTATCCAGTGGGCATATTACATGATGAGATCCTAATCTCTTCTGCTGTGCAACTCTCGTACCACTGTCTGAAAGCCCCGAGTATGGTCTTTTTCTAAACCGTCCACCATGGGAATTGAATATGGTAAACGTTAAGTACTTCATTGTGAAACAATTTCAATAATCTCTAAGCACTAGAAGACTCTAACTGCAAAATACAAAATAAAATGTAACTAAAAAGCTCGATGGAGGAATGGTAAAGACAGGTACAAATACAGCTGAAAGTTTCTATCAAAGTCTTTATCAACAGAGTACTAAATCACACAAACTGTGACTGGAAACTCAATGGACAATTCAACAGAGCTTCTTAAAAACTGGTCAGTAAAACCAAGAAATACGTAATAGGGTAACAAATAAGGATTTGAAAAGCTATATGGACTAAACAAAATAAGTACGGTAAGAAGGCAAATGAAAAAAGAGGGAGAGAAATATGAACAAGTTAATTAACTATATTAAATAAAATTAAATGAAGCTGTGTTGAATATTGTTCCCTCCAGGACTGAGAATGAAAAAACTGTGAATGAAACGATTTTCTAAGGAGTTGTGGCTGGTCTGATCACCAGAGCAAGATTTAATAGCAGTAACTGAGATATCAATTTAGCCTTGGTGGTCAGAACTGTTGAAATGCAAGCAGATAGGTTTAAGAGCCTTACTGTGAATTTCTGCAAAATGTTCATGATAAAAACGACATTCTAGTTCTGCAGATGATGGCATAAATTAGGAGATTCACAATATTTCCATAATGTGAAATGAAACACTTCGCGAAGCAGTAAACCCTTCAGGAAGCAGTAAACCCTTCAGGAAGCAGTAAACCCTTCAGGAAGCAGTAAACCCTTCAGGAAGCAGTAAACCCTTCAGGAAGCAGTAAACCCTTCAGGAAGCAGTAAACCCTTCAGGAAGCAGTAAACCCTTCATCCCCACCGGAAGCAGTAAACCCTTCAGGAAGCAGTAAACCCTTCAAGAAGCAGTGAAACCCTTCAGGAAGCAGTAAACCCTTCAGGAAGCAGTAAAGCTGTGTTTTCCTTCAGGAAGCAGTAAACCCTTCAGGAAGCAGTAAACCCTTCAGGAAGCAGTAAACCCTTCAGGGAGCAGTAAACCCTTCAGGAAGCAGTAAACCCTGCAGGAAGCAGTAAACCCTTCAGGAAGCAGTAAACCCTTCAGGAAGCAGTAAACCCTTCAGGAAGCAGTAAACCCTTCAGGAAGCAGTAAACTCTTCAGGAAGCAGTAAATTCTTCAGGAAGCAAACCACTCACGTAGACCACTCTAGGGTTGTCACTGAATATCTTACATGTGTCAGGATCAATGCACTACAAGACTAGATTTTTATTGTTGAAGTTGAAGTTTAATTTGACTTCAGAATTAAAATTTAGAATATAATGGGTGATTGTTGTATATGTCACGTGCCAATATGATTGACATCCAGCTTTTATGAGGTAATGACTTTGTAATATATTTTAATTACATTTTTATTTTCAATTGTTAGTTATATTTTAACAGATAATTTTATTTCTTTGTTCAGATGTTCAATGAAGACATATCTGAGTCAATCAAAAAGGCTACAGCTTGGGACACTGAAGAAGCTTACTTAGCTATTGGTAATTGATGATGCCAAGTCTGTGTCCTTCTTTAGCATTACTTCATTAAGTAAAATGTTTATGACAAAAGGAAAATGAAATCATTGCAAGGATTAATTGTACTTCTTCTTCAGCCTTCTGAGCCCTTGAGGTTCATTGCTGCAGATATCACCTGCCTCTATCAATCTCTGTGATTGTCCTTCATGTAAATTATCTCTTCACTGTCAGGTTGGTTTCCCTCATGATCTGCCCCCATTAAGCTCTTTTGTGTACCAGGTTTGTATCTCTCTGTTAACTGCCATTA